AAAATATTATCCTATAAAAACCAATTATTCTCTGAAATTAGTATGACCCATGATTATCCTATTAATTACATATTCCATGTATATATGGATTTTTATCATTTGCAGTATATCCATTATTATAACCCATGATTGTCTCAAATGCTAAACACGGTTGAAATAACATGAGAGCCTGCCTTGAGGCACAGTGAGCTTGGTCAAGAGCCTGGAGACGGGACACTTTGTGGCGGTTAAGGTGGCTGCCCCCGCCCTTTCGGTCCGAAAAACAGCCACGCTACCATAAGAAATGGACATAGGTCATAGGTCGTAGGACATAGGTCCATTATATTGATGGACAATATTGTAGGATAATATTGTAGGATATATTGATGGATTATGCTATATATATATATATATATGAGAATTTCTGATTTTTGATATGTTTGATGGATGATATCGTAGGGCTTCGCACACCGGCGATACCCCAAGAGTTGTTGGTGTTGCCCAGAATGTCGCCCGCTTGCTCTGTTGTTGTTTGTTTGTTTGCGTGTTTGTTTGTTGGTGTTGTGGTTGTGGTTGTTCTTTTTGTTCTTCTTGTTCTTCTTGTTCTTGTTGCTCTTGTTGCTCTTGTTGCTCTTGCTGCTCTATGCTGCTTGTGTGATTCGTCGTGTTGCTTCAGTGCCTTGCAACCATCTGACTACACAGTTTTTCTCATATTTGTTTAGGAGCAACGGAATTGTCAAATACGTTGTGTTTGCATGTTTTTTCGAGAAAAACAAAAACCGTAAATACCGATGTGTTTGACGTCTCAGAAGCCAAACAAAAACATTGTATTTACGATGTGTTTTGATCTCGGGAGCCAGAACCAAGGTATCTATACAGTGTTTTAGTGGACAGCACCTAGCCAAAACACCGGTATTTACGCAGTTTTTAGCATGTTGTAAGAAGTAGTTTTTCCACGCAAAAGACACAACCACACTGCAAATTACTGTGTTTTGGCCTTTGGCATGCGCCAAGAAAAGTAGCCATTCCAAAAAGTGTCCAAAATGGACCTTCGAGCCGCAAGCCCGGTTTTTATCCATGTTTTGCGGATTTTTGACCGTCATAAAAAGGGGTAACACCACCAGAGTGAAGGATTTTGGGCCGCAGCCAGATCTGCAATGCTGCAGCGACTAGGGCATCGGCGGATTGGGGATATAGTAGGGATTCGCACACAGGCAAGGATTGTTGGTGTTGCCCAGAATGTTACCCGCTTGCTCTGTTGTCGTTGTTGTTGTTGTTGTTGCTGCTGCTGTTGTTGTTGTTGTTGCTACTACCCCTGCTGCTTTCTTCTCAATCTTGTTGTGGTCAAAAAATCGTCAAATAGGTCAATAGGTCGTGTTTTCAAACTAACTCTCGGAGTACCGATTATTTTTGCGCCTCGGAAGCCCAAAACCACTGTATTTACTATACGATGTTTTTGTTTTGCCTTTGGTAGCAAAGTATTTACAACGCCAGCGCCTAGCAAAAATGCTGGTATTCACGCAGTTTTCAGATGTTTTCAGCACATTGCAAGAAGTACAGAGGGTCTTGGCACGAACCAGAAAAACAGCAAAAGTGCACCAAAAAGTGCCCAAAATGGACCTTCCAAACCCTGCTTAGCAGCAAGCCCCGTGTTTATTCCGTGTTACATTCCCAAAAACGTAAAACCACCACCAGAGTGAAGGATTCTGGGGAGTCGGCGGCAGGGGCTGCAGCCGGATCTGCAATGCTGCAGCGACTTGCAGAGTTGCAGTCTTGCCTCGAACGGCGAGCTGCCAAGGCATCGCCGGAATAAAAGGACTGACAGCCTGGTGCCGCCGACCCCCCTTTTTAGGCGAAGGCCTATCTGTACAAAGGAATGCAAGGTACAGTGTATCTATAAGATAAGCGATTTGAAGGATGCCCGAAACTCCCGCAGCTCTTTGTTTCAATGCAATGCCAGCCTGTGGCCTGGGCAGCGTGCCAAAGAGTATCTTTGAAGGATTTGCAAGGCTGAGCAAGTTGGCCCCTGTAGAACCAAAAGTGGCGAACGTCAGGTTTGCAAGCCATAAAAGTTGGATGAGCCGGGCACTGCCTGCCTACTGTGGCCGGGGCAGCGTGCCGAACAGCAGCTTCCAAGGCGCAGGTTCGGCCCTGCAGAACGGCAGCTAGGAAAGCCATGAAAGGTTGATGAGCTGGGGGCTGCCAGTCTATTGGCCTTTCAAAAGGCTTTACAAAAGGCTGGGCAGGTTGGAGACCTGCAGAACCGAAAGTTGCAAATGTCAGGTTTGAAAGGTGTAAAAGATGGATGAGCCGGCGACTGCCAGCCTACTGTGGCTGGGGCGTGCCGAACAGGAGCTCTGAAGTCAAAGTCGTAACATGGATGAGCTGGGAGCTGCCTGCTACTGTGGCCGGGGCAGCGTGCCAAACAGCAGCTTCCGACGAGTGGCAAACGACGCTTGGGCAGCGTGACGGAGCAGCAGCTTCCGAGGCCTCACAAGGTGGCCAGCCTACTGCCCTTGCGCAAGGCTAGGCACGTTGGGCCGTAGAATGGGCAGCGTGCCTAACAGCAGCTTCCTAGGCCTCACAAGTCTGGGAAGGTTGGCCCCGCAGAACGAACCAAAATCTGCTGGGGATGCCGAACAGCAGCTTCCAAGGCCTCACAAGACTGGCTGGGCAGGTCGCACACTTGTGGTGATCCCAGGCGCCGCCCCGCCTAGGCCAAGAATCAGGGGTCAGCACATATTTTGGCTTTTCAATGGATGCATAATAATGGGATAGTAACATATTGAAGGGAATATGGTTATTCCTGGCGATGCTGAAGGACTATACGGATAATTATAATAACTTCACGTCGCGAGGTCACTGGAATGATAGTCTTTTTATTAATTGATATTTATGGGTAATCATCCCCAAATGGGTGAATTATTATTATGTAGCCAGATGCAATACATTTCATCTAACATACAAGAAAGTGTTCCAATCCAATAGGTAATTTTCAATCTAACATGCAAAAAGCGTTCCAATCTAATAGGTATTTCCAGTTTCCGTGTAACTTCCAGTGGACGTGTAAAATGCTGCGGACATGAGATCTAAAAATTCTCGACTTGCCAAAGCTTTTTGTGATTCACCTCAATCAATCCGGTCCGAGAAAAGGGGGGATCCATTAGCCAAGAAATGCAGAGAAAAGACACGCAGCATAGGCTTACGAATCTTCATGAGCATGGCTGTTGTTCAATTGTGTACCTGCTCATCCTTGCGGCATTTGAAGACGCATCACACCCATGCTTTGTGATGACAGGCTATGCCCCAGTCTTGGACCACTTTGAGTGACGTGGCAGACAGAACAGTTTGACCACAGTGAATGCATGGACCATCATGTGTTTTGAAAGTGATGAGTCAATACCCACGTGATCCATTTGGCTCTTGGGGTGAACATCAATATAATAATATATATATATTAATATTTATACATTTGAATAGTATAATAGCATATAATAGCTAGGTTGATGTTTTTACCACATACCATGCTACCAGGTTGCCACTACTCATGCGCAGATGTCCCGCCCCTGCTTGCCAAGAGGATCTGTTTTGATCGCGCGTTTATCTCAGGACTGGTCACTGGTTAAGTGCTAGGGGTTGTCAACAGAAGACCCTGCGGCACACCAGACCGAGGTATAAATGTGATGTACATGCGAGTGAAAGAAACGTGATCTATATATTAATATATGTGTGTAGTTACTGTATTGTTAAATCATGTATCCTGCATCAAATACCATTGATCAAGCAACGTCCTTGAGATATGCAAAAAATCTGGATCATTTCCATTTGTATGAATCCTTTTCTAACTATCATTCTATCTATTTGCATTGTTGAAAAATGTCTCTATATCTCTTTATGTATCTCTATCTAGATTCGATATAACTCTGTGTTTTTTTAAATCTAAAGTTGCCACAATTGTAGAACGGAATTAGGAGTACAAAAGTATCGTAAAATACCGTACTTTCGTACTCCTCCGGATTCCGATTCCGCACGGAATCCGATCCTGCTCTATAATTAATTTTTGGCCGTTCTATAATTTATTTGTGCTCCTCAACTTCCCATCGGAACCACCGGAAACACGCAGATTGTGTGAGTCGAGGAGGGACTTGCATGTATTTACATCATTTTATGTATCTTTCTGGGACCAGGAAGAAGGTACATAGAAACCAGAATTATAGAACGGAATTATTGCAAATTTCATTTTAGAACACGCATGAACACACAATTATAGAACAGAATTGGTAAATGTGATGGCTATGGGGAAAGCACAAGTATGAAACACAAACAAGTAACAAGAATTATAGAACGACAAAAAAGGTTGGAGTAAGTTGAGAGCAAGTTTTTTCCCAACATTCTGAGGAAACAGGAATTATGGAACAACAGGGTACGGTAAACAACCGTACCTTCGTACTCCTCAACTTCCCTTCTATAATTGTGGCAACTCCCATATCTATTTTTCTATCTATCTGTCTATCCCATCCCATCCCATCCTATCCTCCCCTCTCCCTCCCTATCCTACCCTATCCGCTCCTATCCTATCCTATCCGTTCCTATCCTACCTACCGTATCCTCTCCTATCCTACCCTATCCTGTCCGATCCTATCCTATCCTATCCGATGTATCCTACCCTATCCGATCCTTTCCTTTCCTGTTCTATCCTATCCTATCTGTCCTATCTATCATATTAATCTATCTAATCTATTTAATCTATCTATCTATCTATCCATCTATCTATCGATCTATCTATCTATCTGTCTATCTATCTATCCATCTATCGATCTATCTATCTATCTACCTAACTATCTATCTATCTATCTGTCTATCTGTCTATCTATCTATCTAGCTAGCTAGCTAGCTATCTGTCTGTCTGTCTATCTACCTATCTATCCATCTAACTATCCATCTATCTATCTGTCTATCTATCTTTCTATCTATCTATCTATCTGTTTGTCTGTTTGTCTGTCTGTCTGTCTGGTCATCTATCCATCTATCTATCTGTCTGCCTGTCTATCTATCTATTTATCTATCTATCTACCTATCTATCTCTTATCTCTGGATCTCTCTGTATTTCGTTCTTTCTTTCCTATCTATCTATCCTAGCCTATCCTATCCGAACCTATCCTTTCCTTTCCTGTCCTGTCCTTTCTATCTATCATTCTATCTATCTATCTATCCATCTATCTGTCTATCCTATCCTTTCCTTCCTATCCTATACTATCTATACTATCTATCCTATCTATCCTATCTATCCTATCCATCCTATTTTTCCTACCTATCCTATCCATCCTATCTATCCTATCTTTTCTGTCTATCCTATCCTAGCCTATCCGATCTATCCCATCTCTCCTATATATCCCATCTATCCTACCTATCTATATTTCTATCTTTCTTTCTGTTTGTCATCCTATCTATCTGTCTATCTTTCTTTCTGTTTGTCATCCTATCTATCTGTCTATCTATCTATCTATCTATCTCTCTATCTATCTATCTATCTTTCTATCTATCTATCTATTTGTTTGTCTGTCTATCTATCGATCTATCTATCTGTCTGCCTTTTTTCTATCTATCTAGTTTTTTTTATTTACCTATCTATCTCTTCATCTCTCTATCTTTCGATCTTTCTTTCCTAGCTATCTCTCCTAGCCTATCCTATCCGAACCTATCCTATCCTTTCCTTTCCTGTCTTTTCTATCTATATATCTATATTTCTATCTATCTCTCCATCTATCTGTCTATCCTATCCTTTCCTTCCCTATCCTATACTATCTATACTATCTATCCTATCTGTCCTATCCACTCTGTCTATCCTACCTATCCAATTATCATATCTATCCTGTCTATCCTATCTTTTCTGTCTTTCCTATCCTAGCCTATCCGATCTATCCCATCTCTCCTATATATCCCATCTATCCTACCTATCTGTATCCCTATCTACCTTTCTGTTTGTCATTCTGTCTATCTGTCTATCTATCTATCTATCTACCTATCTATCTATCTATGTATCTATCTATCAATCTACCTACCTATCTACCTATCTATCTATCTATCTATCTATTTATCTATCCATCCACTCATCTTTCCGTATATCCATCTATCCATATACCCTTCTACTCATTTTATTTTTCCATCTTTTGGTGTGCTTTTGATTTGCTGTAACATATCTACCTGGTATATCTAGCCTAATCTATCTAGTCATATCTAATCTACTTGTTAGCTATTGTGTCTAACCTACCTAGTCATATCTAGCTAACCTATCTGATCTACTTTACCTATCGTATCCATCTAGTCTTTCTAACTTATCTTGCCTACCTAAACGATATGTTTTAACTTTTTTCTACTGTATCTACTTTATCAAATCTATTTGTTCTAGCCGATCTAACCCATCTACTCCTATCTGAAAGTATCTATCTAGTGTGCTTAACCTACCCAATTTATTTAATCCCTCCACTCATTATGTTCATGTTTTTCTGTTCAATAGTTTTTCTTTTCATATTTTGTTTACTGCGTTCAGTTTTTTACGGTTCTCATTTCTTTCGTTCTTATGGTTCTATTCTTTATATATATATATATATATATCTATCTATCTACCTACCTATCTATCTATCTATCTGTCTACCTACCTTTAATATTTACAGATAGAGACTTCAAAGATAGATAGTGACCAGTAGCTTTCCCAGCTGGGGAAATCCCATGTTGGCTGCTGATTAGTGAGTGGGCAGTGTTCTGGGATGTGGATTATTTTCTCTGCTGGGCTAACGGGTGATGACTGGGGCAATCTTTGGGCTGTAGACTTTGTTCACATTGGATCATGTTTTTTTCTGCCATTCTCCCCTTCATTCTTTTATTGTTTTCTCTTTCTTGTTTTTGTTCTTTCCTTTGTTCCTTTCTTCCATCCTGTAATCCTTTCTTTCCTTCTGTTTGTTTGTCTGGTTTTCTCCGTTTTGTTTTTTCCTTTGCAGGGTTTTTTCTACTTCGCTTCATCTGCATGTACTCGTTCATTTGTTCCCTTCTTCTTTAGAAGCCTTGGCATTGTTTTGAAGTTCTGAATGCTGAGGTTGGAAAGCCCCTCTATGGAGTGGTACATGTGGGGATTCAAAAACAAATGCCAGGAAAATGGAAAACTGTTCGTTACCACGTTAGCACTATTCCGCATATGTTTGGTTCATAACGTACTCCCTTTAGAAGTGTTTTGGGTCTTGCTTTTGATCTAGAGTTGTGAAGGAATTCATCCTTTTGGAAACAGTGGCATTCTTTGGAAACTGGTGCCAAATAAGATGCAAAGTCCCAGCAAGGCCCTTAAAGGAAAAAAAACATGCTGAAAAACAATACAACAACTTGCTACTATTGAGTTCAAAGCTTACTCATATGATTATTAAAATCATGTTGGGGAATGGTGCCACAATTCAGTCCTGTTCCGCCCATCACAAATCGGTCTCCAACATGACCCTCGAATGGTTGGTAAAAATATACTTGTGTGACCCCGCCTTGTTGTCATCGTGATTGTCACATTTCGTGTTTTGCTTCCGTATGTGTTTGTTTTTGTTATCCAGAGTTTTGGCTTATATTGTCCTGTCAAGTCTATAGGGTTTTATCCTATCTTATTTGGGCGTTTTATTTTTTAATACATATTTCATAATTCCGTCTCAATCTGCCAAGTGATCATTTCTAGCAATCAAAAAATAAATAAAATGTCATCACGTATAAGAATACGTAGAGCCCCAAGGACTAAGCATGGCGGGCCGTTGGGAAAGCCCCGAAGATGGAGGTTATCACAGGAAAAATAACGGAACTAATTTTGTTTTTCCCAGTAGCCAGGTTCGATCACTGGAGGCTACATTTTTTATCATTTTTTTATAGACTCGATAGTTGTCCCACGAATTCCCTTTGTATAATATATCATTATTATCCATCTCCATTATAGAAATTGTTTCCACTTCTTTCCCTCCATTTCTAAAGGTAGATGGCCCAGATCTCCTTTCAGACCAGGTCACACTGAGCACCGGCAGAGCCACCCACATGATCCAGAAAACCCGTGGATGGATCTGGGCATCATTAGATATTTGAGCATGACTCTTGGCCGCCTGGCGCACCCCAACGCGACAATGTATATATATATATACATATATATATATGTATATATATATACAGCTACCCTTTTTTCTATTTAGATATATACACACATATCAATAAATGTAAATGTATTTATATATATATTTATATCTATATATATATATATTTAATATATATATATATTTATTTATTTATACATGTACGTGTGTGGGGGTTTTGACGACATCACTGCCAAGTGCCTGTAGTAGGCTATGATCAGTTGAGGGGACCTTCCAAAATAGTTACATAGTTTCAGCTTGTGGATATTTTGTACATACACAAAACAGGCAACACAACATGCAACACAAAGACAAATACTGATATGCATGTACACGGTATACTTACTGTACTTGTCTTGGTCTCTTCAAGAGCCTATATATCGATTATGGAAATATGTGTGGAATTTTCAGAGGCCAGGCCATGACTGAAAATTTCCCGTTGCATCATCCTGCTGGCTAATCTTCCACTGAGGAAGGCAGTGCCCTTCGTGATGAAGCCATTGGGCATTTTCATGGACAGTTCGGGTACCTGGAAATGGCCAAGTGAAATGCGTGGCGAACTGGCCATCTTGAATGTGGGATTTGCAATTTACCCAATGCCACACATGGGTGGAAAAAGTCATTCCGAAAGGCCAAATGGCCGGTTTATCGCATGGGGTTTACCACACTAATCCCTTCCCCTGAGATTCAATTCCCGCTCCTGCTTGGACACCCTTCTTGCGGGGTGCCATATGGAGGCGTCTTGCTATGGGCAAGGGATCGGATTATGGTCACGACGTCACAGTAACGTCGCTATGCATAGAATGATCTGTGGAATCACCCAACATGTTTTGTGAGTTCTTACAATTCAGAAAGGAATCCTGGGAATCCTTTACGCCTCCCAGAATTAAGTATATATATATATATATTTAAGCATACATGTATGTATACATGGGTGTTCTTTTAATACACACATTTCATGCCTATACACAAAAATACATGCATTGCATTAGATTGTGTTGCAATGCGTTACATGACAATACGGTAATTACGATACATTGCAAAGCATTGCGATACAATACAGCACATTACATTACATTGCAATACATGACAATACAGTACTATCAGTTACAATACATACATGCATGCATACATACATACATGCATGCATGCATGCATGCATGCATGCGTAGGTACACACCTACATACGCATATGCATTTTTTTACCGACACACCTACACCCCTACGTACCTAGATAAATTAATGCATGCATGCGTTCATCCATACACACATGCATACATTAAAAACAGGCAGACATACATACATACATACATACATACATTAAAAATCAGGCAGACATACATACATACATACATAACTACATTCATAACTACATTCATAACTACATGCCTGCATGCATATTGTTTGCGAACATAGGCATGCATGTAGTACATGCATGCATGCATACTTACCTACTTGCTTGCTTAGTTAATAAATGAACCAATGATGCTGTCACTTCATTCATGAAAATAAAAATTCAAAAAACATAACAACTTTAGATTCATTAACTAATTCGTTAACTAATTAGTTCATTAATTAATTCAATCATCAGTTATTTAATTGTTAAAATAATTAATTAAATCAACTAAATCATTGATTAATTAGATAATACATTTCTTTTCTACTGATTAATTAGTTTCCTGATTCATTTTTCATTCATGACCCAAGTAGTGACCTAATTAGTTGAAAATAAAATAACTAACTAATTAGTTAGGTAATTAATCAATTACGTTCTTACTTCCGTACATACAAAAATACATGCATGTGTTACATGCATGTGTGCCTGCATGCATGACAGACCAGACCAGACCAGACCAGACCGACATACACAAATCTGACCGGTATTCATCTTCCCCTTTCAGGGACCCTCCGCTACTGTTGAGGCCATTGGACCTACTGTGTTTCAGAGTTCGCTACCGAAGGCGAGATGTGGCGATGGCCGCGAAGCACCTGGGGAAACTGGCGCTGGAACCCCCGTTCCTTTCTCAGAGAAGACTGTTCAGCCCTATTGATGGAGAACCCTATTGATGTTATATCCTGCAAAATGTTTTGCCCTTTTAGATTACAATAGATCAAGGAAGGTTGGGCATCGTTGATTCAGTGCAGGGATGCGTTTTTTCTCGACCAAGCGGATGGCAGAGAGCGCGTTTTTTGATACGGCCACAGCAGAGCGACATAGGATTTGTTGTATCAGATATATTCAGATATATCTGTTGAAATGATTTGTCATCTCCACATATGAGAGATTCAGAGTTCAATCTCATGGATGGATCGATTGGCTGATAAATAGATATAAAGATATTATGTTCATGTAGACACATGGAAGATCCATAGGGAGAAAGAGAGAGAGACATATAGGCGCATGGATAGGCAGGTAGATACACGGGTAGATAGACAGGTAGGTAGATAGTTCGAACGGTCACTTCCAGCCAGACAGAGAGAGAGGGGGAAAAGTAGATATATATAAATTCACAAATTTTGTTTGCAGAGACTGATGTGTATACATATTTGTGTCTTTTTGTGCCAATAATGATTTTGAGAGAGAGAGATATATATATATATATATGTACATGCAATAGGGTGGATGCTGATAGATATAGGCAATTCTATAAACGGATACAAATAAACATAAATCCATATTAAGGTAGACATAAGTAGATAGGTCAATAACAGACATTTGGTATTGGGTACTGTGACAGTGTGATAAACCCAATGGTAAATCACCCCCAATATCACCATAGATGGGTTCTATAAAAACATCCCGGGATGGTAGGTTTACTTTTGGGTTTAATATTGGGTTTACCCCATCTATATCTCATGATTTGTCCATTTTACATTTACCATGGTATTTCCCATTTATTTTGTTCTAAATCGATGTTCCATTTCTATTTCCCATGTATATGTGCCCCCTTTAAATTTCCCATTTATTCTCATAGTTCATGATACCCTTCTGGAAATGCCCTCCGGATCCGTGCGGCCAGGCGACCTCTTCGGTTTTGTATCGCAGGGTCTAGAACCAGGAGCAGAGCGTGAGCAGGAGCTGATGGAGCTGGAGCTGTTGAACATGGCGAGTCTCTACCATCCAAAATCACATTGTCTTTATAAGGCTAATCATGAACATTCACTTATGAACCATGACATGTCACCGAACGCCATTTAACCATGTGGGGGGTTTCATTCATAGGGATACCCCCAAAATGGATGGTTGGAAAACCCTCTAAAAATGGATGATTTGGGTGTACCCCTATTTTAGGAAACCTCCATATTACTAAAATAGTGAGATAAGTTGATTCCCTATTTTTTGGTGGTTAGTTATCAAGCACCTCCAATTTGGGAGGTGTATGATTGAGCGCGCCACTTGGAAAATAAATATCACTGATATCACCTTAATATTCCCAAATTACTTCCATAGATTGGTATTGCCGAGGCTAATCGCAACCCTGAAGCTAGGGGCTTTGGAAAATGCCATGAGTTCTGGGTTGATGGACTCAGAAAGATTTCAACACCAAGCCATTGGCTTACAGGAAATATGCTGACCCCATTGGATTGACTATTGGCTATTGGTATTGGTATCAACAAAATGGATCTTGAAATGAAATATGTACATGATATTGGCTATTTGTATTTTCTTCATTTCAAGATCCATTTTTTGTTTGGTACAGCTCCCATTGCCCTTGTAGACTTGTGTGACTGCCCTCGCACAAGAATTTGGCTAGCAATAGATTGTTGGCGGATCAAACCAGAACCATGACATGATTCCATCATTCACAATTTCGTGCCATTTTCCTGTGTGTGTGTGTTGCTGCTAGGATTTCGTCAAGGGAAAATTTACCCAAAAGAACCTTGCATTTGGGTTCAAAAAATTGTGGTTCCCTTCAGGATATCTCAAAAGTAAATCTGTGGAGATGTGTGAATCCCTTCCCCGTAAGGTTAAAGACCGACCGCCCAGAAACCATGGTGAAATACACCATTCACCAGGAGGTTGTTACTGGTATCATGGGGATGGGACCCAGCCAGCAGGACCTTCAACCCTTCATGGTGCAGCTCCTTGGCTGGAAGGGTCCACATAATTGTTGAGTCCTGGGCCAAGGGATGAACTCCAATTTACGGCTACGATTTCATGTGAGTCTTTTGTTTCTTCTTGGCGCGGATGAATTGAACTTTGCCTTTGGACATGTATGGCACATATCTGGTTTTAGGGGCGCCCTTTTCGTGGAAAAAAATGCAAATATGTATGTGTATATATACTAAGCTATATATATATATAATATGTACATATTTATTTATATATAATTAATTATCTATTTGGTTTTCGTCCATGGTGAAAGCAGTAAAGCCACCAACGATGGGGTTCACAAGAAACCTCCAATCTGCAATCGAATCTAGCATTTGGAAACCTCTACCTGCGATGTCCCGGGATGGCGGACGAGGGGTAGCGGGTAGCGCTGGGAAAAGGGTTCCTGCGGGAGGATGATCAACAGAAAATGGTTTCAGGCAGCCCATATAATTCTTTATTGATATGATATAACTGATTATATTATGTACTCGTTTAGCGGTGATGAACAAACCGCCGGACCGGACACCGCGCCCGCAAAAACGCAGTTGATTTTGAAAATAGGCTCGACACTTTGGCGAAACAAATGTTTTTTTGATTTCGAAAACAATTAAAAATAATTAAAAAGATGGATTCCAAATTCGTTTGTTTTCGTGTTTTACCAAAGTGCCAGCTCATTTTCATCGGATGATTTTGCTGCATGTCCAAAACATTTTTTGTTGCAGAAGATGCACTTCAAAGTTTCTACCGAGATTCTACCGTCTTCTTCTGCAAGTTGGCATGGAGGTTAATGTGCCTCCAGAGACAGTAGAGCAGCAAATTGTAGCTTTGAGAAGTTAGTAACGTAGCACCAAGAAAGTAGTTGGAAGTTCTTTGAGAAGGACGCACTTGAAAGTTCTTGGGGCAAGGGCCGATAATAGCCCACCCCACCCCACTCCACCCAACCTCAACCAAAAACGTTGATTTGACAGACACCACAACTGGGTGGTCTCCGGAGGATCTTTTCGGCAGTGCGCTGGCTCCACGATCAGTACATCGTGCACTGCGATATCTCCATGGAAAACATCCTTGTGACCAAGGATGCGGGACATCCTGCGACTGTAGGTTAGCAGGCGTTCCACTTAATCAAAGATGATAAATGGAGAATTCCCATATTCGTATCTATTTGTAACATCATCTTGAAATGTGTGTTCCGTTGCCAGGTTACATTCTGGTAATTTGACATTGCCGTGGAACATCACGGTTGAAAAAATAGCCAAGCCATCGAAGTAAATGAGCAACTGTCCATAGTTTCACTCGTTTACCAGGGGATAGGTTATATGGGATTTATGTGATGCGCAGTTTGCACCACCATGGGGCAACTCTGCCCTGGGAGGTGTGTTGTTGAAAGCAACCTTGGACGCATGGAAACAGTAGCAATCAAAGAGGAAGAAATGGACTGGACCCACTGAAAATATGCGTGTACATACATACATACATACCATACCATACCATACCGTGCCATACCATACCATACCACACAGACACACAGACACACAGACACACAGACACAGACACACAGACACACAGACACACAGACACACAGACACACAGACACACAGACACACAGACACACAGACCCACAGACCCACAGACCCACAGACCCACAGACCCACAGACCCACAGACCCACAGACCCACAGAC